AGCCTCAAGTCCCAAAATTTGACCTTGAGTCTATCCCACCTGAATTTAAAGACCATTTCAGGTACAGCTTTGAGATCCTAAACGAAGACCAGACAAGCTATGGTGGGATATTAAGAATATCATCCAAGAAGAAGGCAAAAGGTCATTAAAAAGTAAGAAGAGAAGACAAGACTGACACAGATGACAGAAGAGACTCTGAATATTGTACTAGAGTGCTGCTAAAGGAAACTGAAGAAATTAAGGGCTAAAGAAAAGATTTCAAAGGGCAGCTTAGGAAGATGAAAGAAAGTACTGCAATGAAATGCAGTATGTATGTACATCTATGTTTACTGCTCTGTTGTTCACAATAGCAAAATGATGGAAACAATCCAAGTGCCCATTGACAAATGACTGTATAGAGAAGCAGTGGTAAATTCACACAATGGAATACTACGCAGCACTGAAAAACAAGTAACTAATAAAATATTCTACAAAATGGGTGACCCTGGAGGATGTTATGCTGAGTGAAATATCTCAGTCCCAAAAGGACAAATACTATATAATTTCACTGTTATAAAACAGGACAGACATGGAGGTTGCAGGGAAACTAAGTGGGATTAATGTACACTACACTGAAACAGATGAAAAAGAACTGTTTATAAAGATTTTATGATTAGGTATTATTTGATGACAAAAGTCCAGATTAAGAGCTGCATAGCAAAGTGGACTAGGGGTCGGGGAGTGAACAATATTTTTTTTTTTTAATTTATTTACTTTTTAACTTGGTGTACTCTCAAATTGGATCCGACTGGCACAGGAAGAGTTTGCCCCTCCTTCTCCAGCAGAGCATCTGGTGGATTCAAACCATGCACCTTTGGGATTGCAGTGCAGCTTCTTGCCTCTAGGCCACCAGAGCTCCAAGAAGAATTTTTTTTTGGGGGGGGGGGGTTATAAAATAAAACTTTTATTTTATACTGGTTTACTTACAAAGTTCATATACATTGTTTTTCAAACCAGATCATTCCCATTTCCTTTAACCATCCCTCCTTCTACCCATCAAATTGTGCGACCCTAAGTTTAACTTTCTGCTTATCCTCATCCCTTTGCTCCCCTTTCCTCCCCTCTTGGATCCTCATAACACGTTACTAGCCATCTTCCTATTTCTATAATAATGGTCTTAAACAGTATTTGTCCTTATGGGACTGAGCTAGTTCACTTAACATAATGCTCTCCTGTCCCTCCCAAGTTAGGGAGAAATTAACAAAATCATTGCTCCCGCATGCTGCATAGTATTCCATCATGTGAATGCACTATAATTTCTCAATCCATTCCATTGAGGTTGGACATATGGGCTGTTTCCATGTTCTTGCAATGGTGAATAATGCTGCTATGAACATGGGTGTACAAATCTGTTTGTGCCTCAATTCTCATTTTTCTTAGGGTATATTCCAAGCAGTGAAATAGCTGCGTTGTATGGAATTTCCTTCAATTCTTTTATTATTAGTAGTAATTTTAATGAAAATTTACAGAGATTTTGGATTTCTATTCATTCATTGTTGCACTTTTCTCCCTGCCCACCTCTCCCCTCCAGTTTGCTCTTCTCTTTGAAAAGTAAAAGTCTTTCATTGTTATACAATCCCTCCCCTCAAGTCCACTTCACTATGCAGCCTTCATTCTGGACTACTGTCATGACTTGAGTCCAAAAGAATTTTTTTAAAGAGAAAAGCAAACTGGGGCAGGGTAGGGAGGAACGTATTCAACAATGAATGATTTGAAATCTAAGTTTTCTGTAAAGTTTCATTAAAATCTCAATAAAAAAGAAAAAAAAGAATGCCTTCTACATCCATACCTTTTCAATCTATATGCAGATCATTCAAGAAGTTGGACTTTAAGAGGAAGAATGTGGCATCAGGATTGTTAAGCAAATGACAGAACTTTGCTTACTGAAACTGAGGAGGTCCTTAAGCATTTGCTGCAAATCTCAAGGACTGTAGTCTTCAATATGAATTGAAGCTCAACATCAAGATGACAAAAATCTTCAGCACTGGACTAATTGGCAACACCATGAGAGGAGACTCAGATTGTTAACAATTTCAACTTGCTGATTGTTGGTCTCAATCAACACTTGTGGTACCAGCAGTCAGGATATCAAAAATACAAATTACTCTGGGAAAGTACTGAAGGGCAACAGTATCAGTCTAGAGATTAAGGTGTGCCTGAAGCAGAACATAGTCTTTGCAAATTTTTGCTACACATCAGAGGGCTTTACAATAACTAAGAATTACAGAAGAGGAACCAATGACTGAACATATCATGGACTGCCAAGAAAACAAACAGGTTCTTCCTGGAGCGAGTCAAACCAAGTTGCTTCTTAGAGGCAAGGATTTTGAAGCCCTGGCTAACACATTTTGGGCATGTTGCCAGGAGGGATCAGTCTGTGGAGAAGGAGATAATGCTTGGAAGGATGGAGGAACAGTGCAAGAGAGGAAGATCCTGGAGATGGATTGACAGTAACTGCAGTAAGGGGAGTAAGTTTGTGGGAGATGGTTGAGACTGGCTCAGGATACGATAGGGTTCAGAGCTACTGTGCATGTGGTCGCTATAAGTTGAAGGTGACTCAAGGGCACATAACAACCGTCTCTAGATTTGTTTGAGGAAATAAAGCATTCCCATGTAAGTGTGTAGAATGTAGAGAGACGTTAAGACCTGGGGAGTAAAGAAAAGGTATACAATGGCTGGAGGAAGAGGAAGTCTTGACTTATAAACTAAGATTTCCATATAGAGTGAATGGTATTTGAGGGAGTGGTCAAGAATTTACAGTGACTCCAATATATGTTAGTGCATTTTTAAAGTTTATAAAGTTTACAATCGAACTGAGATCAATACAATCAAACTGGGATCAATACTGCTCTACCACAAATCATACAGGAACTTTTGTTACTAATATATAGACACACCCAGAACTTTATTTTTATTCCTATTTTATCTGGAATAACTGTGATCTAGTCATTGATCAATTACTCTAATTTTTAAGTGATGTCTCTAGAGTCCCTATGTGGTAACAGAAAAATAGGACTCATGACTTTCTTACCCTCATTTCAGTGACTAGGGAGAAACTGTCCATCTTTCTCCAGTGGAGCTGCTACGGATTGGAACTGCCTGAATGTGGCCTCTGGGTTAGCAGTGCAACTGCCTAAAAACTACACCAATCACAGCTCCTTCTATGTTTAACTTTGGAAAAGGCAAAAAGAAATGCCTAAAGCAATGCAACATCATTTTCTATAAGACAAAGAATCTGAATGTTATACCAACTCAATTTTCTGTAGACAATTCAAAAAGAGTTTAATAGTTTTAAGGAAAGATATTTTAATAAGGTTCAGTTTGTTTCTTAGTCTTATATTAAAATATAATTTAATAATTACGAGATAACACTGATAGTAAGAACCAACTTAATTATACAATTATACATAATTATATTCTCTTATGTTTGGAGATCAGAGATTTGCTAATGTTTCTCTTCGCTGTTTCTAGTAGTAAAATTTCGGATGATTTGCTACTTTTATCTTTGCAACTTTTCTAGTGACATATTATTTTATTAACGAGTTCATTAATTTTGCAAGAACAAGGGTCGTGATTCCCTAAAATAACAGCAAAGTCGTATTTGGTTTTACAAACAAGTTGTTGTTGTTGTTGTTGTTATGTGCCATCAAGTCACTTGCAACTCCTAGAAACCCTATAAACAACAGCCCTAAACCCTGCTCTTTTCCCAACCTTACTGTCTCTGACATACCTATTGCCATTACTTCAGTGACAAAATCAATCCATTTCAACAAGTGTCTTCCTCTCCTGTGCTGTCCCTCCAACCTCCCAAGCATGATGTTCCTCTCCAAGGACTGATCCTGCCGTGCAACATGTCCAAAGTATGTCAGACGGAGCTTCGGAATGCTTGCTTCCAAGCAGCAGCCTGACTTCACCCACTCCAGGATGAACTCGCTTATTCTCCTAGCAGTCCATGGTATATTCAAGACTCTTCTCCAGCACCAAAGCTCAAAGGCATCAACTCTCCTTCTATCATCCCTAGTCACTGTCTAGCTCTCTGATGCATAGCAAGTAACTGCAAAGACCATGGCCTGTATCAGGTATACTTTAGTCTCCAGACTGACATAGTTGCTCCTTAGTACCTTGGAGAGATCTCTAACAGAAGACTTTCTCAATGCAATTAGTTTTTCAATTTCCTGGCTGCTGGTACTAAGAGTGTTGATTGTAGAGCCAAGCAAACTGAAGCTATCAACAATCTCAATCTCTTCACCATCTATCATGATGCTGCCAACGGGCCCACTGGTGAGAATCTTTGTTCTCCTGATGTTGAGTTTCAATCCATAGTGAAGGCTGCAATCCTTGACCTTCTGCAGCAGGCACTCCAGGTCCTCCTCAGTTTCAGCAAGCATGGTTATATCATCTGCATAATGCAGAATGTTGATGAGTCCCAATGTCACACTTCTCCTCATACAGCCCAGTCTCCCAGATAATCTGTTCTGCAGATAGACTGAAAAGATACGGAGACAGGACACATCCTTGACACACACTCTTACAAATTTTGAACCATGGAGTGTTTCCTTGTTCTAACGACTGCCTCCTGGTCCAAGTATAAGTTTTGCATAAGCACAATCGAGTGTTCTGGGATTCCCATTCACCTCATAGTCAGCCATAGTTTGTTATGATCCACACAGTCAAATATAGTTTGAGTAAAACTAAGTTTTTGGTTTCTTAATTTCAATCAGTCAAACTGACCTCAGCCTATCAAATATTCACAAAATCAAAGGAGTTTTCACTAGTTCTTTAAATGGAGTGCTGATAAACTTTAAATTGATGGAAACAGATTAAAACTTGTTACCCTTTGGGTTACCCTTGTAACCCAAAATATCTGTAAATGTTCATTAAAACTAATAAAATTTAGTAATTAAAAAAAATAATAACTCAGTTAAACCTGCAAAAAAAACCCCAACAAAAACAAAACTTACCCTTGTAAAGCTTTATGAATTTGTTTGCACTTTTCCTTCAATACCGCAAAAATATCTGAATGGAAAAAAAAACCACCAAAACACTCTGATTGTATACTTAGAACATTTGATATTAAGAACCTAAAAACTCCTAAAGACCCAAGTTACCAGTTTAAAGGGCAACAAATTCTCCCACATAATAAAATCAACACCTCACACTTTTCCACAGATCTGAGCTTTTTGTGTTGGCACTTAGGAACCTAGCACTTTTTCTGGTCTACTTTTAACAAAGTTCAGTATGGCATTTTCCAAGTAAAGCAATGCCTCTTATTCTTACCAAAAGTCTACAGATAATCTGGGTAAGGTGGTCAGGAATAGTAGGGTATAAATCTATATTTACTTTATGACCTCACAGTTTTGTAAAAAATACAAATTACAGAAATTTTTTATGTTACTTCATGACTTTCCCTTTCACTCATGAAAAATTAAAAAAATCAAATTTATCCAAAGAGGTGAGAATATCCAAGGAAGCAGAAGTATCCAAAACATCCAAGGACATGGAAGTGTCAAGTTTTCTAAAAGCAAATTTTAAAAATAGAATAATCAGGTAAGATTTGTTTATTCCTTTCTGTTTTCCACTTTGGTGTTTTTATCACAGTGAAAGCCACATCTTTAATTCACTGCTGACTCATATTTTTTCCAAAACAACCTGAGTTTAGACCATTATTTTAGAGTTAAGATTTTATAGTAGTTAATATATAGAAAACTATTAACTAGAAAAAGTTATAAAAATTTGCTCACAAAGAAAGGTTAGCCTTCTAACCAAAAGTAGTGCATAATAAAATACCTGGCAAAAGGTAAAACTTCATTAAAGTTTAAATGTTCTGTGGCTGTATTTCTAATACTGGAAAAATAGTAATACAATATGTCCTCAAGGATGATTATTCAAGGATGATTATTTAGTGGTCAAGCTGTTTCTGACTTTTAAAACAGTTTGGTTTTAAATATTTTTCTTCTTCCTGTATAAACGAGGCAGAAACCTGTGAACTTCACTCCTACCAGACCTGTAGCACAGAGAAGAATATGAGCAGGTCCATCAAAGCTACTCTCTATTGGTGACCAGCTGTGGTCTCTGTTCCAAGTGATGCCTCAAAGTCTGAAGGGAAAACCATACAATAGTTTTTTAACTATTCAAAATTAAAACATCCCAAAACAGCACACTTCACCTAGTTTCTCAACAAAGTACAAAACGAATGATGAAATGTGACATTTTTACATAATGTGCAACCCTCATTTCAGCATGTTTCTCTACCACTGAGTGAATCATGCTTTCATTCAGTTCTGAGAACAAGGCAGATGTGCTATTCCAAGCCCTTAAGCAGGTGCAATTTCTTTTCTGGCATTTTTCTAATAATGCCAGGTGACACATTCAGGCCAAAGTTCTGTGTGGTAATTTCCACAATAAGCAAACCTGTAATATGGGTAATATTAACTGGAAATTCTCTAATTTCAGACTTTCAAAGAATATACTACCTGGATTCTCTTCCATGATGTTGAGAGCCTCAATTGCAGCAGCAGCTAACAGAGGGGGCAATGAAGCTGAAAAGCAGTACCCCTGGCCAGAAAGTCGCTGAAAAAAAACAAAGCAAGTTCACAACAGAAATATCTGTGTCTGTCTGGGTAAATATCTGGTTAAGCATTCTTCACCTAGCAATTTCTTCCATCACCTATTGAAAAGTGTGGACAAATCATGAGACAGATTCAGGCATGGAGAAAAATTAGCCATTTAACAGAAAACTTTGATTTTTGCTTTTGTTTTTGAAAAAAATGTAATTTCTGAATATAAATGTTTTGAGTGATTTTTAAAAAACGAACATAAAGACTGTGGGATAAGCTAGGTTACAGTAAATTCATATATTGAAGTTTCATTTTGAGGTGGACAATGAAGCAACTGGTTTCAGTTTATGGTTTTATTAGAAAAGATGCCTACCTGGTGGTCAATTACAAAAGACCTGCCACAGCAGAAGCCCCCAATAGATGCAAGAGAATTCTCCATGTTTGCACTGATCAGATCAATATCATCAATCTATCAGAAAAGAAGGGAACAATGGTAGTTATTCCTTGATGGGTAGAAAAAGGCTAATGCCAAGCCAAGAAACAAATCTCAGCATTAAGTATGTCTAATAACATTGGGATTCAAACAAACTGGAAATTAAGGATAAAACACACAAAATCAACTGATTTGTCTTTAAAAGTACCTCACTTTATGGGGTTTTTTGGGGGGGTGTTTCATTTGTTTTCCATTTCATCATGCATTAATACTTTTACATCTGCAGAGGGTGAAAAAAAACCTCAAATTCAAAATTATCTGTCAATAAATTTTATTGGAAAGGAAATAAAGGTGGCTCTGAAGAGATAAGAACACTGCATTAATTGATTTCAAAGGCCACTAAAATACCCATAACCTTATCCTCAAGAATCAATACAAGCTTACGAACCTTGCACAGGGTCACTGAAAGCTACCTATACTAACCATCTCAGAGGAAAGAAATAACCCCACATATTTTTAATATATCAAAATAAAGATGACAGTGAGTTTGGGTTTTTCCAAATTTATCATAAACTTAAAAAAGAAAATTAATGCAACTATGAGATAAACTGAGGGAGAAAGACGGGCAATATTTTCCTGTGTGATTTAGAGTCTCTGAAAAGCCATTGGAGGGTCAGTCATGTGTCAAATGAGTTTGATGACTTTGGGACTTTTGGGTAAAGTAAGCCATACCATCAGACAAGCACTCGTGCCTCAAAATAAACACTAACACATGGCCCAAAGAGCAGCACTTGCCCCAGGGTTAGCCCAGAAGGTACTGAAGGGTAGGACAAGAAGATTCATGGAAATGAGAATTAAAGGGAGGAAGTGGAAAGAGCGCACTTATATTGTGGGTATTATAAGTGATGATGTTCTTGTTATGCGCTGTCGGGTCACTTGTGACTCATAGCGATTTTATGTATAACAGCCCTAAACTCTGCTCTGTCCTGTGCCAATCGCGTCTGCGATACACCCATCCCAGTCACTGAATCAATCCAACTCACAAAGGGCCTTCTCTTCCTAGGCTGTCCCTCCACCCTACCAAGCATGATGTCCCTCTCCAAGGACCTGTCCTTCCTTACAACATGCCCAAAGTATGTTAGACAAAGCCTCAGAATCCTTGCCTCCAAGGAGCCACCCTGAAAGGCATCAATTCTCCTTCTATGCTCCGTAATCATAGTCTAACTCTCTGATGCACAACAAGTGATTGCAAAGACCATGGCCTGTATCAGATGCACCTTAGTCTCCAGAGGGACACCATTGCTCTTCAGAACTTTGAAAAGGTCCCTAACAGCAGACTTTCCCATGGCAATGCGCCTTTTAATTTCCTGGCTACTGGTGCCAAGAGTGTTGACTGTGGAGCCAAGCAAACTAAA